CAGCATTAATAGAAATATTTCATATTTCAATATTTTCATGTTTTTAAAACTTCAAAACAAACTGTATTTGCAGCTTAGTTTACATATATGGACTGGATAGTGAATGGTTTAACGATTTTTAGATACTAATTCAAACTTTTATTTCAGAAAAGGAAAAATTCAAGGGAAATTCAACAATAAAAAAAATGTGACACGTCGATAATTTTGTCCAAATCTTTTAATTTATCAAAATGTCTTAGTGTCCCAACCCTAATTTCTACATATGAAAAAAGTCCCAAAAACATTTTGGCCAAAATTGACTGCATACTGTATTAAATATTACTACAATGAATATAATTGATTCTCACATTCCAAAATGTGTGAACTTCAATCACTGCCTTCTGACTGATGCACCTGCCAGCAAACATAGATCAAAAAAACATGGATTCAGACTTACTGGGGGTTAATACGGCCCCCCTGTGTCTGACTCCAGCCCTAAATCCTATATCCTGAACAGAAGGTGAAGCTAGCCAGGGTTGGTTTGTGGCAGGTACAGTGGAAAAAGGTGCGCCCCAGCTATTTGGCAATAGTTCAGCATAAAATTTAACTTAACATAATTTGACTTGCTTTGGTGGTTTCTAACACTGTATAACACACTGTTATCTATAAACATGGACAAAGGTACGTCACATAGCTACATAACAGCAGCAGAAGTCTTAATAATAGTATCAGCAGTCAGAAATTCAGAAATTTGTCCACATTTTGTCCACATTTATTGAGTGCCATTTTCAGTTTCACCAAACCAAGCCACACACATGCATTCATCATCAGTCCTTCAGCCTTACTGAAGTTTTCTGGACCTGTGGCGTAGAATGACATGTGAGGTGCACCCGGTTTGTCTGAGAGGAGGTGAGGGTGGAGGCTCGGCGAGTGCGGCACGGCCCTAATGAGGGCCAGAGAGAGAAAAACTCCAATGTGTTTCCTATCAGGAGACTTGCACTTGCGGCTGAAATTCCAGCGCATAATAAAAGTCTGTCTGGACTCAATCAAAATAAGCATGCTGCCACAGCCCCAGACTAAGAATAACTGCAGCGCAGCACTTTGATGAAATTCAGAGGCTGCATACAAGCATTGTTAAAATATATTTCCAGGAGTATTTGAACAGGAGGGTGGCTGGAGTCCAAAACTGCTTTTCTCTGGAAGCAAATGCTGGGCACTGCTTTTAACTGGCGTGGCAAATGGAGCAGCAGACCAGTCTGGGGCCAGCTGGGGTTTGGGGTGGGTTGTACCTTGAATAACTGTAATTGAAAGCAAGTTAGAATAGCTGCTGCTGCTGCAGCCGTGCAGGGCTGTGTTGATAAATGTAGTTATCGCATGATATTGCAGTTTGCATGAATACAGTTAATGAATTCATGCTTTCTGATTACTGATACTCTATGCCAAAAGAATGTCATCTTAAAGGGCCCATAACATGGGAAACCAAGCTTTCCTCACTCCTGAGTCCATAAAGTTTATTAATGAAAACTAAGCTAAAAAATAAAAAAAAAAAAGTTTGAATTCGTTGCTTTTGTGATGTCACAAAAAACACCTTACACACTTAAAACATGCTCAGGTGTGTCTAAATCAGCAGGTCAAAGAACAACACGAGTTGTTATAAAATCAATTGATGGGGAAAAAGAGTCTCAAGCTTCACCAGACACCACCAGAGTGCAACACCCTCCCAGATAATGGGGCAGAGAAACTGACGCAAGATGCCGGTCTCACCTGAAGTCCATAGCTGTTAAGACGCCCCAGTTAGACCCTAAAGCTGAAGTCCTGCTTCTGCTTGGAAGAGACATTATCCAAGTTCTGGAGCAGTGAATGGGCCTCCACATGCTCCTTTAGCACAGAGGATAGGTTTCGGGTGTGTAGTAGTAGGAGATATCAGCCTTGGCGGCGTGCATAGGCCATCGGCAGTTAACGTCCTTAAGACAAGCGTACTGGAAAATAGGTGACCCAGATTTAGGGGTGCGCCCCTGTCCTTACCACATTACATCACTATATATCGTGATAAATTACATCACAATATCGTGGAAAATAGTGGATATCATCAGTGCTACTAGCACACTGACCAACTGCAGATGTCCTTACAGAGAGTGCATAATTAATCCGGGTTATTTGGATTTAGTGTGGTGTGTGAAACATGTACTAAAAATGATTTGTTCTCACAGCTTTTGATAGTATTTTTGTGACACCGCTGGTTCTTTTTTTGTCCATTCTGAATTTTCTGAAGTATTGTGGTTTTGCATTTTTGCTATATAAACCTAAAATTCAGTACTGTAAAGTTACATCAGCACCACTAGATTGGTGGGGGTGATAACTCAGCACTATGCAGCAGTATCCCACACACTCTCTATGAAGTCTCATTAAACTGCTTTGCGGTCCTCTAGTGAAACTCCGTCATTAGCAGAAAGCCGTCCGTCAGCAGGCTGTGTTAGAGCAATAAACTGTTTATCCATTACTGCATTCCCCTTCCTCACATCACACGCAGGAGGTTCTCCGCTGTTGGCAGAAAGGATGTGACTGGAGATTAGCGCTGATAATTAACACACACAAACATTTTAGGTTTATTGTAGGTCAGGATCAGGTGTTCGGCAAAGCGTCACAGCACCAGGATCAGATGCCTTTATTAGAGGCTGCATATCTTACCTTTTTCTTCTATTTTATTTTTTTATTTGTATTTTTTGTCAGATATTTCTCAGTGGATGTTGCAAAATTTTCTACAATTAAATCACGAAAAAATTGAAATACTGATCGTTGGTATAAAAACTCAGAGAAAGCTGCTTAATGAGAAACTTGTATTAAACATAAGGTACGAAACCTGGGTGTGATCTTGGACTCTGAGCTCTGTTTTATCTGCATGTAAACAGTCACTAAAGTAGTTTTCTATCATTTGAGAAACATCATTAAAGGCCTTTTCTCTCTCAGAGCAGCGCAGAGAAACTTGTTCATACATTTGTTACCAACAGAGTTGATCACTGTAATGATCTTCTTACTGGACTTCCTAAGAAAACAATACATCCTTTACAACTCATACAAAATGCAGCAGCACAGATCCTAACAAAGACAAAACAGACAGATCAGATCACTCCTGTTTTAAAAGAGCTGCACTGGCTGCCTGAATCGCTCAGGATAGATTTTAAAGATCTGCTACTAGTTTTTAAAGCTCTAAATGACCTTAAAGCACCGCTTACATCACAGAGTGTCTGTGTGTTTATGTTCCAGCACGTAATCTTAGATCTGCAGATACTGACCTTCTACAGATACCCTCTGTAAAATACAGAAAACATGGAGAGACTCTTTCAGTTATTCTGCTTCTAAACTGTGGAGCTCAGTTCACCTTTTATTAGACAGTCAGGCTCAGTGCTCACTTTTAAGAATCATCTAAAATCGTATCTCTTTAACTTAGGGTTTAATTAAAACTCTACAATTCATGGTATTTATCTTTTAATTTGATCTCTGTCATTTTCTTATATGTCTGTGTCCACTTATGACATTTTTGTTCATTTATGTACCACACAAAGCAATTAAATTTTACATGACCATTTTCCAACCTCTCTGCTGCCCCTAGAATTAAACAGGCTGCTTTTGTTACTGTATGTTTAAGACCGATGTATGTAAATGATGACTGTTCTGATTGGCTGCCCTCATTCATAAAAGCAATGCCTGCTGAAACACTCCTTATAACTTCAGTGTGAATAGGCAGATATGAAAATGTGTTTTTGTGACATCATTTGCAGTTTTCTTTCCATATATAGACTATATGGAATGGGGAGTAAATTGCATGTTATGGAACTTTAACAGTGTTTAAATTCTTTAATTTCATAAAAGTGAGGAAAATTGTTTTTTGCATGATTTGGGTCCTTTAAACAAGTAAATCATCGCTGTCAGAACAAAACTTTGTGTCTCCAAAAAAGGTTACTTTACAGGAGAGGGAAGAAGTGTTCTCAACTTTTAATGTAGGTTAATATAATAACATTTCAGTCATTTTGGACCCTTTACTGTGGCCCAATCATCATGAGATTTTGACACAAAGGTCAAGAATCTTTAATAAAAGTATATAGATACAAGGTTTAATACAAGAAAATAGACGCAAAGTTTGAATTCTCAGCCCAGGTCTAGCAGTGAACAGGTATTGCGTAGAGTAGAGCAGGCCTGCAGCATTCATCTGCAAGCTCTACCCCAAAAGTTCTTGGGCTGTAGAAAGGTTTTACCTCAGGTTTTGCCACTAAAGCCTAAAAAAATAACATGGGCTCAGAAACCTAACTCAGCTCTCAGGTCTTCTAGTGGAAAAGCGGGTGAAATTCCAGGAACATTCAGAAAAAAGATTATCTCTACAATGAAAAAAGGTCTGTAATGCATAACTGTTAATTTGGAGATATATTTTTCAATGGAGTGGGCTCTGCATTGCCAGTTTTGTCTACGAAATAAAGTGCTATTATGTAGGGATACACAGTAATATTGGAATCATAGCATTATTGGCAGATAACTGTATAAAAAATAATCATAATAATCGTAATAATCGTAATCGGACAGATGCTTAGATATGACTGACGTTTCAAACCGATATTTGGTGTATTTACTGTACTTTTTCAGGCTAACTGGGTCAGTCTGGGTCACAACGTTGAGCAGTAATCTCAGCTAAGCTTGTGTTTGTATTGTAGCTCTTGTAAGCTACTGTTTTGAAATGCCACAGAGCTGCGTTACATCACATCATCCCACCTCCAGTGTCTGAATGGAGATGCATTTTCATGCACCATTGAATGTAATTTTTGTCCCCAAAATTCTTTCCTTCTTTTCTTTTACAGAGTCTTTGATGTAGATTTGTGCTTCTAATCACACATGTATTGTATTTATGAGAAATAATGGGGGCTTCTATGATTCATAAATAAGCCCATAGTCCCATCTGCCTTGAATCACCCTCATATGGGAACGGTGCTTCAGCCTGCGGCCTCATGGTGTGTCTTTATTCTGTCTTGCAGAGGAGGTCGACTACAGCAACTTCGGCACCAACACACTGACCCGGAAGAAGAAGGCCGTCGTCACACTTCGCAATGACCTGAACAGGAAGCGGCCGCACATCCGCATCGGCATGCCTCAGGACTTCCGGCCCGTGTCCTCCATCATTGATGTTGACATCCTGCCGGAGTCGCACCGCAGAGTCCGGCTGTACCGTCACGGCTCGGACAAGCCTCTGGGCTTCTACATCCGCGACGGCACCAGCGTCCGCGTCACTCCGCACGGCCTGGAGAAAGTTCCAGGAATCTTCATTTCCCGCATGGTGCCCGGGGGCATGGCGGAAAGCACTGGCCTACTGGCGGTCAATGATGAGGTGCTGGAGGTCAACGGCATCGAAGTTTCAGGCAAAACCCTGGACCAAGTGACGGACATGATGATCGCCAACAGCCACAACTTGATTGTGACGGTGAAGCCAGTGAACCAGCGCAACAACGTGGTGCGCAGCAGCCGGATTTCCGGAAGTTCAGGCCAATCGTCTGACAGCAGCGGCTCAGGAAGCTTCCCGGTCATTACACATTCGCCATCCACGGCCACTGTCGCCCATGGTTACGGCCATGATGATCTAGACAGCGACGAAGAGTCAGACATCGTCATAGAAAGCAGCGTAAGCCGCCCGTCTCGCCGTTCCAACGCCTCCCAAAATCAGCAGACATCCTCCGCCGCCCCGTCTCCTCCCAGCCCCCCAACCAGACCCCAAACCAGACCCCCTTCGGTCATATCCACGGCCTCATTCCACTCGCAGCCCAGCCTGAACGGCACGGGCCACAGCAGCCTGAGCTACAGGCTCCAAAGGGACCTGAACCTCCAGCAGCCGCACTACCACAGTGCCAGCACCAGAGAGAGCAATGGCAGCCTGCACAAAATCCTCAGCAGCCTGAGAACGGACCCACGAAACAGCCTGGCTCTGCCCCCTGGAGGAGTGGAGGAGGACGGCATGGTCATCACCTTATAATACGGTCCACACTCTGAAGACTCGCTCTTAAAGTGATAGCTTGAGTAAAATCACGTTTACACAGTTTGTCCTCGGATTCCAATTGTAGTCGATCAGCGAAGACATGTTTGGTTTGCTTCTTTAATTTTGCACTGGAGCTACGAGGCTAATGTAGCTAACAAGTAATGGAAGCTTGTACCCCACCAATTAGCATCATACAGATTGTGTGCCTAGATCATCCCAAACTTGTCTCAGACAGTCTTAAGCAAGTCTATTAGAGATTACTTATGTACTGTTGTATATAAACATGGTACACTGCATGTCTGAAAACAACAGTAATGCTGTGTTTACCTGTTGACATTAAAAAACCAGCAACATCCAATCAACATCCGCCACGGTCCACGGCAAAAGTTGGGAAAACAGGACTGTTGACGGACCGCTGCAGCCACCATAGCGGAATTTTCCATCACTGCTCCTTTGAAAACAAGGAAACATCCAGGTTTTCATTGTCTGTCTACTGTAATAATGTAAACACAGCATAACAGCCATTTTAAAGCCTGGATTTTCATGCTTTTGTTTTATACTACGTAAAAAGTAAAGAAGCAAACTTCAGACTTCAGACATGTCGTATCTGATCGTCTGTATTTGGGCCAAGTGGAGAAATTCTATAGACTAGATTTTTATCAAACTATCACTTTAGGTCTCTCTCTTATATAAACACAAACACATTCGGGTCATGTGATCTGACCACCCAGAGACTTCGCTTCACAGCCTGGGACGACAGACTCAACGTTGAACCTCACTGCTTTCTTAAAAAGGTTTTTTGTACAAAGACTAATTTAACACATTCTCGTCTTTTACTCGTTCTTAAAATAATGTTACCTTTAAGTATGCAGCCATGTCTTCTTATCTGTCTTATCAGTCTTATATGTTGGGGATGCATGGGGAGTAGCGTGGTACATGTTTTTTTTTGTTTTTGTCTATTAGGCGGAGCCACTAATTTAACATGAATGTGTAATTTTTTTTTTTTTCATTCTTCTTCTTTTTTCGTGACATTTCCCATTTAAGGATCACTTTTAATCATGTTTTCTAAACGTCTCTTTGGACCAGCAATGCGGTTTAGGCCTGTGTTGTCTCTCTTTTTTGTGTGTGTGTTTTATTTTTTCCATTCATTCGAGTTACAGTAGATAACTGAAACACACCTGCCACTATCGTGAGTCATAGTGATCACTGGAATTCTTGGGGAAATGAAATAAAAAGGCTGATGTATTCTGTAAGCTTTTTGTTTGTACAGTCCGACTTGGTCTTCACCAAGGGGTCAACCTAGATACGCATTCGAAATGACAGAAATGTCTGCTGTATATGTTTCTAGGATGTTTATCTCATTCCAGCACCGATTCCTTCATTCGCATTTTGAGTATTATAGGCTACATAGGAGAATACACTGTAATTCCGTGGATCGAGGAATTATCCTTTGTTTTTTGTTTTTTTTCTAAAAGATTTATCTTTTTTTCCAATGATGTGGTCTTAATAACATTCTGCACTCTCCTATATCAGGTACCTTCGTTCTACAGTGGAACACTTAGCTTGAAGCTTTCCGACTACGCCGAACCAATGGCTTTGTCTTCTTTCCTCACCACACATTCTGTCAGTTAACTGCTAATGACCTTATAACTCTGGCCCAAACTCAAATCCTCCCAGCTGTGCACAGGCTCAGTCCCCAAGACGCTTAGCTTTCGGCTTTGAGCAGCCGGCTCGCTAAGTGCTAAGCTAATTTCGCTTCAGCATGCAGGTGCTAACACTCTGTAGGGTCATTCGCACTGACCTTAAAGGGGGATTGTACTGATGCATAAGTAAATTAGGATGTAAACAAAGTCCTTCAGAGTGGTTTGTGTGAAATCCAGTGTTCTAGAGAACCTTGCCACTTTAAAATAAGTAATAATGGAGGTGATAGGAACCGAAATGTCTCTAAGAGCCAACTTATTGCATGTAATGGTTAGGAATACGCTGCCTGATGCCTGCCACATTATTTTAAGCTCATTTTTAATGGCCTAAAACATAGAGAGGTATATGCAGGGTGTTATAAGGCAAAATAGTCCCTAAAGAAAATATAATTTTTTCAGATTTAACACTATTTTACCACCATTAACATTACATAATGTGTAGGTTCATTGGTGGGTTTGATAGTAAATAAAATGGCTCTGTGTTGCAGACATGGTGACTCCTGGTTCCCATCACCACCACTGTAAAGATATGAGTCTAAGTTTCTCTACAGTGTTTCACATCAAACCATGAATGACTTTGTTTACATCTACACGAGTTAATTATACAGGAAGAAAAGAAAAACAAGGCGGACTTCCCCTTTAATTGGCGCTTTCATCACTGGGTCATAGGTTGTCTTCTTAGAATTGGGAACAAATTGTGTTGGAAAGCACAAATCAGTGTCGGGTTAACTTCAGTTAACTGCACTGTCTACAAACAGTCTGTTCTGTTTCGTGATCTTCACAGCGTTGCGGTGGTGTGTGCACTGTGGGTCCTCCTTTCGTTAAGTCTTTTAGTTGATGACATTTACACAGTGTAGTATGTTTTTTTTGTCCAACCTCAAATCTCGTGTGCCTTATTGTCCACCCTTCCGGCACAGCTCACCCCAAATATCGGGCCACTGGCTCAGCGCCTGTATCGCTTATGATCAGGCCTCTGGATGGACAATGTAAGTCCGTGTTTTGTCTCTGATCAAAGTAATAGCATTGATGCCTCACAGTTGGCACGAGTATTGATTCCTGTCTCAGAGTCTCCATCTGCTGGTCGATTTTTTGGAACTATCAGTTTATTGGGACCCACCTCAGAACCAAGCAAATGGATATTTATTGTACAAAATGTCTGAAATTTTTTGAATCGTCTTGGTTTGTTTTCATTTCTTTGTTCATCTTCTGTGTACACCGATTTTAAATTTTGAATAAATAATGAGATTTTAAGATAATATGAATTGAATTCTTTGTTATTGCGCTCTAGGACACTTCCTCAGGTTTTTTAGATATCCAAGTGTGTTATGCGCATGATGTTTACGACGTGTTATAGACCAGTGTGTCTCAACCCTGGACCTGGCGGCCCACTGTCCTGCAGATTTTACTGTATTCTTGCTTACATTATTTCAGTAAGGGCTTGTTAATGAGCTGATTTTTTGGATCAGGGGTGTTGGGAACAGGGAAAACACTAAAATATGCAGAGCAGTGGGCCTCCAGGACCAGGACTGAGAAACACTGTAGTAGACAACATATTGTTGACTGGACACACAAGTTGTAAACCATTCTTAGTGCAGTGCAGAATGTGAAATGTTAAATAATAATCACTGAATCCTGAGGGTGTGACAATGCAATGCAATGCAATAATTTGCCTGTGCATCATGGAGACGATAGAATGGTGGCGTGGATGTGCAGCAACACATTGTTTATTATTTTTTAAAAAATGTAACGTGGCACTACAGGTTCTTTTTGTCCATTTCATCTTCTTCAACTTTAAGGAAAAAAAAAATCTTGTAGGATTAGGACATTATATTTTTCTCATATCATCCAACCCTACTTTAAAACCATAAAAGAGCTGCTAGACTGTAGGAGGTGAGCAGGCACGCTTACAACAGAACAAATTTTTAATTTTGGACAGGCTGCCCCTTTAAGGTTATTTACTGTGTGCAGAGGGCTAAGCTATGATCCATTCTTAGTTTAGCCTACTAAAAATGATAATGTTGTAAATATTGTCTGTTTTCTTGCTTATTTTAATCTTTTTATTTTATTTTTATTTCAAATTTAGCTCTCTACATAGGGTACTATAAAGTAGAGGTGGGCGATATGGCAAAATGTAACACCATGATACTTCAGGACATTTTTTACGATACACATTGTTTGATATTCATTTTTTCTGACATCTGTTAACCTCTTATTCTTCAGGGTGTTTTTTCCATCTGCGTTTACATGCCCAAATTGCAAGGCAAATTATTCAGTAACTGCATGAAATAAATGTAAATTTTTATTTTATTTAATTTTTTTTTTAAAGCTCCCCTCAAATTAACAGAACATGTGTTTTATGATCACACATATTGCTATATGCTTACAGTTTACTGCTGAAAGCCAAAAATCTTAGACGCTCTTTGTATTATTTTATAAAAATAATGTTTACAGAGCAGATCACTGAAGAGACGCCATCTGTTTATAGTTTATAGCCCAGATTTGTGGACAAGTGGGTCGACTTTCAGTAGAAAAAAAAATTAGTTCAGCTTCTTTTATTATAAGGGTTCAAAATTACATCACCCATCTGTTTGAATGGAAAGAAGAGTTACAGCTCTCATACGACCCCCACCTTTTGAATGTAGCTTATGAAATATGAAGGTTATGAAGAATATGACGAAGTGCGTTTTGGAACCACTGGTGGTCTGAAGGAGTTAGAACAGACAGAGTAAGCCCACATTTTAAGAGTACTATCAAAAGCCATGAATCCAATTACTATTCAACACTTTACACACTGTGCTGCACTAAATCCAGTCAGGTTAGCAGCTGAGACGTGATTTTTAAGTACGGATAATATCCACAGTTGTGATTGGTCAGTCTCAGTCAGCTGCTGGCAGGAGCCCCGTCACCCATCCTGCGGTCAGACTCAACGCCACCACTAGATGGGAGCAGAGAGCCACCTTTAGGTGAGTAGAGGCAACCAGTCAGACCGGTGTTCAGCTCTACTTAAGAGTGGCTGTTTGTTCTGTGCTCGGTCATGAGTTTGCATGTACCTTTTGATCAAGCTGGGATTTGGCTAATTACTCTCAATTACCTAGACACTTGAAAATAGATGGTTCTTCAAGGGTTCTTTAGTAAACACAGTGGTTCCATTTAGAGCCATGAGTTCTATATAGAACCATTTCATGCTTAAATTATTCTTTGCATGGTGAAATTGTTGGGTTGATGGGGAGTGTGTTGTATATGGTTCTATATGGAACCTCTTTGAAAATGGTTCCATTTAGCACCAAAAAAGTGGTTCTGCTGTTGTTGCAAGTTTGACATCGTAACATTTTCAGAATGTATTAGACTAGATAAGCCCTGTGATGGACTGGCGACCTGTCCAGGGTGTTTCCTGCCTTCCGCCCAATGTCAGCTGGGATTGGCTCCAGCACCCCCCGCAACCCAGAAGGATAAGCCGTTTAGACGATGTGTGTGTGTGTGTGTGTATTAGACTACATAATGTTGGAAAGCTGGTATTTGGGTAAGTGCTCTCAAGTCTCTGAGAGTTTGCTCCTAGTCCCTCTAAGCCCTGTGTGTCAAACACAAGGCCTGCGGGCCAAGTCAATTTAATTTATTTTAAATTTAAATTATTTTATTTTTATTTTATTTTTCTATTATTATTAATTGTTTAAACAGTGGTCAGTTGGGGTCATGGCAAAATGATAAATAAAAATAAAATAAAAGCACAGCTGGCTTACAGACCTGCTGAGATTTTTTAATATGGCCCTTTTAGTGGTTCAGTTTGACACCTCTGCTCTAAGCCTTGCTCTCGAGTCACTTGTGACAACAGAGCAAGTATTAAAAAATGGGGGAAAAAAAGAAAAATTAATAAAAGAAGACAAAGGGAATAAAGTACAAGAAAAAGATTTACTCCTCCTTTTTCCCTCCCTTTCTTGAGCCTTTGGCTAGCTCCCCCTTTGGTTTAGTTTTTGAGTGGTGGTCAGTTGGCTGCACACTGGTCAGTTACCCTTTGGCCACAGTTCAATCCCAGTGTGGGGTGTTTCTTGGTTTCTCCTCTGGAGTAGTTTTAGTTAAGGCTTCTCTCTGGGATCTGGGCCAGTGTTTCTACACTTTGTTTACTTACACTACTCATTTTGTTTTTTTTCACTGCCACCTGCCATTGAGGTCCCCCTCTGCCCACAGCTAGTGGTTCAACCAGTGACGCCATGGCCTCCCATACCTGGAGA